CACCTGCCCAGGTGTTGTCGGAGGTGTGTGGCCAGGAGGTCACCACCCAGCAGATGTTGCCCACCGTGCTGCGCATGGCGGCCGACGCCGTGGCCAACGTTCGCTTCAACGTGGCCAAATCCCTGCAGCGCATCGGGCCCATCCTGGACAGCGGGTACTGGGTTATACTGGGACATACTGGTTTATACTGGGATGGGCTTTGGGGAGTGTGCTGGGCCCATCCTGGACAGCGGGTACTGGGGATACTGGGACATACTGGTTTATACTGGGATGGGACTGGGGAGTGTGCTGGGCCCATCCTGGACAGCGGGTACTGGGTTATACTGGTTTATACTGGGTTATACTGGTTTATACTGGGATGGGACTGGGGAGTGTGCTGAGCCCATCCTGGACAGCGGGTACTGGGTTATACTGGTTTATACTGGGACATACTGGGATGGGCTTTGGGGAGTGTGCTGGGCCCATCCTGGACAGCGGGTACTGGGGATACTGGTTTATACTGGTTTATACTGGGATGGGCTTTGGGGAGTGTGCTGGGCCCATCCTGGACAGCGGGTACTGGGACATACTGGGACATACTGGTTTATACTGGGATGGGCTTTGGGGAGTGTGCTGGGCCCATCCTGGACAGCGGGTACTGGGTTATACTGGTTTATACTGGGTTATACTGGGATGGGGGTTGGGGAGTGTGCTGGGCCCATCCTGGACAGCGGGTACTGGTTTATACTGGGAGATACTGGGATGAACTGACTCACCTGTCCATGTCTCACCTGTCCTTGTCTCACCTGTGTCTCACCTGTCCCAGGACGCTGCAGACCGAGGTGAAGCCGGTGCTGGAGAAGCTGACGCAGGACCAGGACGTCGACGTCAAATATTTCGCACAGGAGGCACTGACAGGTGAGACACACCTGGGGACACACCTGGGGACACACCTGGGATACACCTGAGGGGGATTGGAGACACCTGGGGAGGTTTGGGGACACCTGGGGACACATCTGGGGACACTTGGGGATACTTGGGTGCAGCTGGGGATACCTGGGATACATCTGGGCACACCTGGGGACACACCTGAGGGGGATTGGTGACACCTGGGTGGGTTGGGGATACCTGG